GAACCCGCGGGCTCAGGCAATTCACTCACCTCAGCCTCTCAAAGGCGCGGATTATAGACTGAGCCACTGAGCCTGGCTCCAACTAATTTTTAAAAATTTTTTTTGCCAGGTGCAGTGGCTCACACCTGTAATTCTAGCACTTTGGAAGGCGGAGGCAAGAGGATTGCCCGAGCCCATGGGTTCAAGACTAGCCGGGGCAACATGGCAAGACCTCATCTCTACAATAAATCAGAAAATTAGCTGGACATGGTAGTAGCCTATAGTTCCAGCTACTTGGAAGGCTGAAATGGAAGGATCGCCTGAGCACAGCAGGTTGAGGCTGTGGTGGCTGTGAATGTGCCACTGCACTCCAGCCCAGGTGACAGAGTGAGACTCTGACTAAAAAAAAAAAAGATTTTTTTTTATAGAGTCAGGATCTCACTGTGTTGCCCAGACTTGCTTTGAACTCCTGGGCTCAAGCAATCTTCCTCCCTCAGCCTTCCAAAGTGCGGGGGTTATAGGCATGAGCCAGTATGCATGGGAAGATCTTTCTAATACATATCAAAATAAATATTAAATTTCCCCGCATGGTAGTGCATGCTTGTGGTTCCAGCTGCTCAGGAGTCTGAAGTGAGAGGATTGCTTGAGCTAAGGAGTTGGAGACTGCAGTGAGCTATGATTGTGTCACTTCACTCCAACCTGGGTGACAGTGAGACCCTGTGTCTAAAACCAAAGAAACGAAATTGTTAAAATAAAAATTTTCATCTGCATATCATCTAATATAACTCCACTTGGTAAGGAAATATTAATACAAATATACATTTTACTTATTAATGTTGAGTGGTAGCAGCAGGAAAACAGACATACTCACTGCTGTGCGTTTCTCTTGCCCTTTGTTCTCCTCAGATGCCGCCATGGTCCTTTGGGGAAGTGTGTACACTGCGTCCCTCTAGAGGTGAGAATCTTTGCGGAGTAAGTTCATGGGCTGGTGTGGTGGGTGGCTGATGGACAGAGCTGTCTAAATACTTCCTCTAAGTCCCTGCACTTGGTTGAAGTGGTTAAAAGAACTTATCTATTTATTGCCCTGGGCCTTGTATTCCCAACAGTGCAAGCTGCACAGAGGACGAGTCTTTATTTATGGGAGTGACCTTCTCGGTGGATTATGAATGGCTAAAGCATTTGTACGGCTGAGATAAAGGGGCAGCATTTACAGTGGGCTCCCTGGACAATCCTTTTAAGATCTGACACAAAGCTGGGCCTATCGGTTTTTGTGCTCATCATTGTTTTGATTTACTTTGCCTTGAATCTCACATCTCCTCTACTGATTTGTGCTGGTGAGATTGAGAGTTACCATAATAATGCTGACTGGTAACTAGTTAATGCTGAATTTACAGCAGCAAGGCCAACCTGGTGTTCTTCATGAGGCTCCTCTTCATCTTGTAGCATTTCTTTTTGCAAAATTGTCTTGAAACTTAGTTGTTGACTTAGAGCATTTTGTATTCAGTAGAGTTCGTCTTACTCTTGAAAAGATAACTGGCACACAAAGACAAACTTGTTTCTGACCTAGAGTGATGAGTGAGACCCCTGCACCTGCTTTCCTGTGTGGTCCCTGACCTGCCGAGGCCATGCGGCCTGGGCTCTCTAGGAACTCATGCCTGAGTTCTCTGGCAGGTGTGGGCATGTTCTCATAACTATGTGTGTTTTGGCAGCCATTCGACGAGGACTACCTAAACCATCTTGAGCCTCCCGTGAAGCATATGTCCTTCCATGCCTACATCCGAAAGCTGACTGGAGGGGCTGACAAGTAAGCAACTTGCTATATAGCCTGTGCATAAATTCTTCTTTGTGTATCTGGCAGTTGTTGCTTACAGCCACTGAACATGTGAATGAGAAAAAGATGAGATGGGGTACAGGCTTTTGAATTTGTGATTCTCAAAAAGAAATAGCTGAGCAGTGACGATAGGCACCTGACTGCAACTCCCTAGCACTCAGAGTGTCGGACAGAGACCATCCCCATACATACTGCCTCGGGCATCACGAGTTAGCGCATGTGATGGTGGCCTGTTGTGTCATCCTTTGCTTTTTAGAAAAACAGCCACCCTGTAATAATCTCAGCTCACTAGTTTTAGCCCCTGTCAGCCTTTTCCCTAGAGCCCTACTCTGAATCAGCTTGATTTTCACAGTCACAGCAGGGGCTGCAGCACCAGTGTGTCCGTGGCTCAGGCTTATGGTGCTGTAGCAGTTGTCCACAGACTTGGCCAGGTGGGCAGTGTGAGTGAACTTCTCATAGCTCCTGCATGCAGGTTGTAACAGTGGTCAGAAAGAGTGAACTGAGAATATTTTTATTTCTTTTAAACCTCGTCAAGTGCTGCTTTTGTTGATTTTCTATACACTTTACCAGAAAGTAAGGCTTCAACTATTATTTTATAATTCCTTTCAGTGCAGCATAAGGAGATGGTGGCTGAGCCCAAGTCAGCAACATTTTGTGATGAATGTCACAGTCGCCTGATTGTAGCTTTTCTCTGACAGTCTAGTGTCTGCCTAAAATGACTTTTTAAAAATGTTAGGCCATGAGAAAAAACCCCACCAGAAACCCACTCTTGCCTGTCAGTAGGGAAAGCTATGGAACTCTCTGTTCTGAGTCGTGAGTGGGAATTTATTGTGGTGAAAGAGACTTGGTCAGCCTTTTGTCAGTCTAGGTCACAAAATAGTGCACAGTGTCCTGTGGGGCCATGCTTGTAGATGCCATTAATGTGCAGACTTGGCGTCAGAAGTCATTGCTTCCTACGTGATGTGATACCAAAAATGGCTCACGATATATATATATATATATATATATATTTTTTTTTTTTTTTTCCTAGTTGGAATCTCACTCTGTCGCCCAGGCTAGAGTGCAATGGCATGCTCGTAGCCACTGTAGTCTTGACCTACAGTGATTCTTGCGTTTCAGCCTACCAAGTAGCTGGAACTATAGGCATGCACTACTACACCTGGCTAATTTTTGATTTATTATGGAGATAGGTCTCACCAAGTTGCCCAGATCTCACCAAGTTGCTCAGGCTGGTCTCAAACCTGTGGGTTTGGGCAGTCCTCTCACCTTGGCCTCCAAAAGTGCTGGGATTATAGGCATGAGCCACTGTGCCCAGCCAAAAAAAAAAAAAAAAATGGCTCACTATAAAAAATGTTAAGTATGCAAGGTGTAATACATGTTAGCTCAATTTAGCCATTCCATAATGTGTACGTATTTCAAAACATCATATTGTACACTGTAAATATATACAACTTTTATTTGAAAAACAAAGTATCACACTGTCTACCTTAAATAGATATAATTTATTTGTCAGTTATACTTCAGTAAAGCTGGGGGAAAAAAAGAAAATGAAATATTTTGTGAATGAGGTAGCTAAAGTCACCTATATAGATTCACTCCAAGTTCAGAGTAGAGTCCAGGCCTTTCTCATTTGACAATCTTTTCTTCATCTTCTTTTTTTTTTTTTTTGAGTCAAGGTCTCATTTTGTCACCTAGACTGGAGTGCAATGGCACGATCACTGTTCACTGCCGCCTGGACCTCCTGGGCTCAGGCGATCCTTCCATCTTGCCTTCCCAAGTAGCTGGGACTACAAGTGCACACCACCATTTCTGGCTAATTTAAAAATTTTTTTTATAGAGACAAGGTCTTGCTATACTGCCCAGGCTGGTCTCAAACTCCTGGCCTCAAGCAAGCCTAGGCCTTCCAAAGTGTTGGGATTACAGGCGTGAGCCACTATGTTCAGCCCAACAATCTTTTAGCTAAAAGCAGAGTGAAAATATCTTAGTTATATATTCTAACCAGACTTTTCCTATTAATATGTATTTTTTACAAAGGTATAGGTACTGTCCTAATAATGTTAAAGTTGCCGATAAATTAATGAAACTTTTAAGAGCCTCATTTTCTCTCAGTGGTACAGATTAGGTCAATAGATATTCTATAGTATTTTTGAAGACTTTCATGGATGTTCATGATAGAGGTGAAAATAAAAACTAGTTTTGTAGGAAAATAGTTGTGTGTTTCTGTATAGTTTAAGTGTATGAGACAGAATCTAGAATTTATTTTGAATGTGCTAGAAGTGTAGATAGAACTCCCATTAGAATAATTTTGAGCACATTATACCTTTTGCTGCCTACCACATGCTTAATTTCTCTGTTTAGGAAGTGTAGGATATGTACCTTGTTATTTCCAGCCTGTTGCAAAACTTTTCACCATTGTGATGTTTAAGTTACTTTTCTTCTTTTTCAGGGGGAAATTTGTTGCCCTGGAGAACATCAGTTGCAAGATTAAATCAGGGTGTGAGGGACACCTCCCGTGGCCTAACGGCATCTGCACTAAGTGCCAGCCAAGTGCCATCACGCTGAACAGACAGGTGAGATATGTTCTCCATGTCTGTCTAGATTTGTTTTCATGGATGAGAAATGGAAATTTCCAGAAGAACCCTTCCTTGGAGAGGAACTGCCACTAACAGAGTGTGTTAAACATGGAAGATTTTCAGTATTTTTTGATCAATTGATTGATCATTTTGTGGAAATCATACACTGAAGATATAATTTTAAGATTTTCAGCTCTTCCATATTTAGAGTGGGAGCCTTCAGTTCTCTATTTGTTAACTTGTGTGTAGGCAAAATGTGATTATTTAAAACGCATGTTTGTTGTAGTTTTGCCTTTTAAGAAACTGGCTCCAAGCCGGGCTTGGTGGCTCAGCCTGTAATCCCGCGGCTTTGGGAGGCTGAGGTGAATGGATTGCCTGAGCTCGTGGGTTCGAGACCCGCCTGGGCAGGTGAAACCTCATCTCTACAATAAAATCAAAAAATTAGCTGGGCGTGGTAGCGCGCGCCTGTAATTCCGGCTACTTAGAAGGCTGAGGCGGAGGGATCGCTGGAGCCCAGCAGGTCGAGGCTGCGGTGGCCGGGAGCGGCCACGGCACTCCAGTCTGGGTGACAGAGTGAGACTCCAACTCAAAAAAAAAAAAAAAAAAACTGGCTCCAGAGGCTGATAAAGGGACTTTCCTGGGACCAGGTCAGAGCACCTATTCAGGTTGGCTTAAGAAGAGAACTTGGCTAGCCGGGCTCGTGGCTCAGCCTGTAATCCTATGCCTTTGGGAGGCTGAGATGAGTGGATTGCCTGAGCCCACGGGTTCGAGACCCGCCTGGGCAACTTGGCGAGACCTCATCTCTACAATTAATCAAAAATTAGTCGGGTGTGGTAGCGCGTGCCTGTAGTTCCAGCTACTTGGAAGGCTGAGGCGGAAGGATCGCCGGAGCCCACTGCACTCCAGTCTGGGTGACAGAGTGAGACTCCAACTCAAAAAAAAAAAAAAGAAGAGAACTTGACTGAGGAAGGAGGTGATGTTCTGGCCTCTTCTGCTCCTTTTACGTTGCCTCTGGTAGTAACGCACTTTTTCCCTCCTGCTGCCTGTTCCATGTCTCCATGTCTAGTTCTTGAGCGAGAATGTCCTAGCCTCTTTGAATTTTTTAGAAACCTCCCTTCCTCTATTTCTTTGTCATTCTTGAAAATGGCTTTATTTTTTGCCCTAAAGATAGTTAAAACTGGCATTTTAGGTTAGAGCACAATGAGATTAATTTGAATTTATTTATTTTTTTGTAAAAGGCAAAAAATTTGTATGATCTGAAGAGAAACCAGAGTTTCTCTTTATTTATTTATTTATTTTATTTATTACTTTTATTTATTTATTTTTTGAGTTGGAGTCTCACTGTTGCCCAGACTGGAGTGCAGTGGCCGCTCCCAGCCACCGCAGCCTCGACCTGCTGGGCTCCGGCGATCCTTCCACCTCAGCCTTCCAAGTAGCCGTAATTACAGGCGCACGCTACCACGCCCGGCTGATTTTTGATTTATTGTAGAGTGAGGTCTCGCCAAGTTGCCCAGGTGGGTCTCGAACCCGCGGGCTCAGGCAATCCACTCATCTCAGCCTCCCAAAGACACGGGATTACAGGCTGAGCCACCGAGCCTGGCTATTTATTTTTTCTGAGTTGGAATCTCACTCTGTTATCCAGGCTAGGGTGCAGTGGCACACTCCTGGCCTCCACACCCTCTATCTGCCTCAGCCTTCCAAGTAGCTGGAACCACAGGTGCTCACCACCATGCCTGGCTAATTGTTTGATTTACTATTGAAATGAGGTCTTGTCAAGTTGCCTAGGCTGGTCTCAAACCCCTGGGCTCAGGTAATCCTCTTGCCTCAGGCTCTCAAAGTGCTGGATTACAGTCGTGAGCTACCATGCCCGCCAATTTGAATTTCTTGATAGATGAAATCCATCTCTACCCCTCCCCCACTTCAGCTGGCTGGACTCTAAAGTGGTCTGAAGAACAGAATATGTAATTAAAACTTGGTTTAAAAATTTTTTTTTCTTTAAAAAAAAAAGACCAGTCATGGTACCTCATACCTATAATTTGGGAGGCCAAAGTGGGAGAATTGTTTGAGTCCAGGAGTTTGAGATCAGCCTAGGCACCATAGCTAGACCCTGTTGCCCATAGCAACGCCTTGCTAGCCTCTTGCCCAGGCTGACCTTGAATTCCTGACCTCAAGTGATCCTCTCACCTAAGCCTTTCGAGTAGCTGAGACCACAGGCATGAACCATTGTGCCTTGTCATTAGATAAGAGATATTTATGAATGGTTTGTTCTAGAAAAATAAATGATGTGTTTTTTATGGGATTTTTAAATTTAGCCCACTGTTGTTAACTCTACAGAAATATAGACATGTGGACAATATCATGTTTGAAAATCACACTGTTGCTGACCGCTTCCTTGACTTCTGGAGAAAGACAGGGAACCAGCATTTTGGGTACTTGTATGGACGGTACACAGAGCACAAAGACATTCCCCTTGGCATCAGGGCTGAGGTGGCTGCAATTTATGAACCTCCTCAGGTAAGCATGGGTGAACTGTAGTGCCTTGTCGTTAGTATGGGTTTGTATGGGTACCTGTATTACTTTGTTTTGAAGGCCGTGTGGGATGCCCTTTACAAGTTAAATCTTGCTCCATTTGCTTTACAATTTTTGCATCCTCTGTGTTACACATGCAGGTGCAGGTGCACACGATTTTCTGAATTATTGGTGCATCAGATCATGGCTTCTAAATATTTCAGTGTGTATTTCCTAAGAATAGGAATTTTCTCTTATATAACTAGTTCATTTATCAATTTAGGTAAATTGAACTGATATTGATACAGCATTTTTATCTAATCTGCTGTCTGTTCAGGTTTGCAGTTGCCTCAGTAGCGCCCAGGAGATTCTTGGGTCTTTTCCTAATTCTGTGTCTCTTCCACCTGTGCAGCAGCTACTATCCTAAGGATGATGGAGTTAGAGTGCCACAGACACATACTACAGTCTCAGAATTACCAGAATGGCACCAAAATAATGAAAACTACCACCAAAATATGACTGAAAACAGCTTAAGATTTTTTTTTGAAGTAGAAAAACAGTCCTTAGGGTATATCCCATAGGGTCTTGTGTAGTCAGTCACTGTGCTATGAAGTCATTGCAAGGTCCTCTCTGTATGATTGTCACCACCCAGTTACACATTTTATATGGTTTTTAGGAATTAGCCTGTATGTGTATATTTATGTACATTTCTGTTTTATGTAAAATATTTATATGGTATGTTGCATTATATAAATTTTACTACATAAGCAAAAATGCTAGGAGGCTGGACATAGTGACTCATGCTTATAATTCCAACTCTTTGGGTGGCCGAAGCACGAGGACCACTTGAGACCAGGAGTTCAAGACCAGCCTGGGCAACGTAGCGAGACCTCATCTCTTAAAAAAAAAAAAAGATGAGCTGGGAGTGGTGGCTCACTCCTGTAATCCCAGCTACTCAGGGGGGTAAGGCAGAAAAATCACTTGAGCCAAGGCATTTGAGGTTGCAGTGAGCAATGATTGCACTACTGCAGTCTAGCCTGGGTGACAGAATGAGACCCCCATCTCTTAAAAAAGGAAAGAAAAAGCCTTAAACAAAATTGAATTCTAGTTAGTGATATGCTGTTGAACTATTTAGGGAGAAGTATACTTATGTCTGCAACATGAAAATAAGATAATGACTAGAAGAGCAGAGAAAGCCTAGTAAATGTTCAGATTAAATCTAGGTGGTGGGTATATGAGTGTTCATTATAAAATTTTTGTTGTTGTTGTTGCTTTTTGTTTTTAGTCATAGTCTCACTCTGTTGCCCAGGCTGGAGTGCAGTGGCACACTCATGGCCACTGCAGCTTTGACACCTCGACCTGCTGGGCTCAGGTGATCCTTCTGCCTCAGCCTTCCAAGTAGCTGGAACCACAGGTGTGTGCTACCACGCCTGGCTAATTTTTTGATTTATTGTAGAGACAAGGTCTCACTAAATTGCCCAGCCTGATCTCAGGCACAGGCAAAATCCCTGGGCTCAGGCAACTCTCTCACCTCCGTCTCCCAAAGTTCTGGGATTACAGGCGTGAGCCACCATCTCTGTCTACTATAAAGTTGTTTAAACTTTGCTGTGTGTTAGAAATTTCTTATCTTTTTAGAGACAGGGTCTAACTCTGTCACCCAGGCTGGAATGCAGTGGCACGACGAAGGCTCATTGCAGCCTCAAATTCCTGGACTGAAGCAATCCTCCTGCCTCAGCCTCCCAAGTAGCTGGGACTGCAGTGGGTATCACTGTGCCTGGCTAATTTTTAAAATCTTTTGTAGAACTAGGGATCATGCCATGTTACCCAGACTGGTCTCAAACTTCTAGCCTCCAATAAGCCTCCTGCCTCATTCTCCCAAAGTGCTGCAATTGTAGGCATAAGCTGCTGTGCCTGGCCAGAAATTTTTTTATTAAAAAAAGTTGGAAAAGAAAAAAAAAATTGTACAACTTCAAAGTCATATTTACAAACAAGGTATGTTCATTTCCCTTCCCCCTACTATATATGGGTAGCTCCCATGTTTAAAAACTTTTTGGTTTGACTTCTTTTTTTGTTTTTGTTTTTGTTTTTTTGTCTCGAACCCGCGGGCTCAGGCAGTCCACTCACCTCAGCCTCCCAAAGGTGCGGGATTACAGGTTGAGCCACCGAGTCCGGCTTGGTTTGACTTCTAATTTGATTTTTTTTTCTTTTTGAGTCAGAGTCTCACTCTGTTGCCCAGCCTGGAGTGCAGTGGCATGCTGATCCCATGCCTCGACCTGCTGGGCTCAGGTGATCTTTCTGCCTCAGCCTTCCAAGTAGCTGGAACCACAGGCGTGTGCCACTGTGCCTTGCTAATTTTTTATTTATTGTAGAGACGAGGTTTCGCCAAGTTGCCCATGCTGGTCTCAAACCCCTGGATTCAAGCAATTCTCTCATCTCTGCCTCCCAAAGTATTGGGACCACAGGTGTGGGCTACCACGTCTGGGCTGATTTCTTTTAATGTAAGCGTATACATGCACATACATGCGCCGATTTATACTAGGATTCCTCTTCTTCATTTCCTTGTATGTATACTGTACTACTGCACTATACATAATTTTTTCACCTTACACTGTGTTCTGGAGACCAGTCTGTGGCTAGTCTGCTATTTAGATTTCCCAACTGATTGGAGGAGGGGTGCCCAGCAGCTGTTGCTGAGTGAGTTTTCAGAGTTTGCTTAGCAGGGTCTGAAATTGCATGCCATGTGTGGACACCAGTTGGTGTTCAGGTTTTTTTGTGGTTCCTGCACAAATGCGTGTGTCTTTCAAGGCTGTGTTTATACAGATTTTAAGTGTAGTTACATCTCTTTGACATTTTTGGTATTTATGTATTGATAGTGTTTCATGGACCTTTTGTGATGGTTCATTTAAAAAGAGACACTAGATGGCAGTAGAGACCCCAACTGGATAAATCTGTTTTCCAACCCTTAGGTCCCTAAGTGTGCTCTGCAGTCAGGATGCTGCTTTTGGAAGCACAAAATATTCAAATTCAGTTTTGTAGAGGCTCTCTTTCATAGAGAATTTAACCATTCTATTAAAAGTATAATTGAGAAAAATTAGAATAGAAACCTCTGGCATCCAGACCACTAACAACATCATCAGAGTTCCCAACTCGGGCGTTCTAGAGGTTGAATCAATTGACCTCTAATAACCTCTGGCTCATTAGAAGTTGAAGCTCATGCTGCCACATGTCATCTAAACAAGTCCTTCCCTTAAATTTGCTCTGAGTTTGTGATTTGATCTATACCCTGGAGGTATTAATGACCTCCATATGGGTAGATAATACCCAGCAAACTTAAAGTTATTTGTTGTTTTGCCAGATTTTGCCTAAATTACAAGGATATACCCAATTAATATAATTCAACTTGGGATTACTCTCACTTTTTCCTATTCATGGCCAAGGTTCTACTTGGAATGATACTTAGTAATGATCCAAGCACTGCATTTAAGTGAATGTGAAGATTTCAGCAAGCTTGGTCAACTCTAGGAAGTGGTGTGCTGTGGTTGGATTAGGTTGCATGGGAGTCAGTCAAAGTCAGAGCCCACTGAGTGCAAGCAGATTGCTGACTTTATTTTGTTTTATTTTATTTTATTTATTTTTGAGTTGGAGTCTCACTCTCGCCCAGACTGGAGTGCAGTGGCTGGTCCCGGCCACCGCAGCCTCGACCTGCTGGGCTCCGGCGATCCTTCCGCCTCAGCCTTCAAAGTAGCTGGAACTACAGGTGCGCCCTACCACGCCCGGCTAATTTTTGATTTATTGTAGAGATGAGGTCTCGCCAAGTTGCCCAGGTGGGTCTCGAACCCGCAGGCTCAGGCAATCCACTCACCTCAGCCTCCCAAAGGCATGGGATTGCAGGCTGAGCCATCGAGTCCGGCTAGATTGCTGACTTTAGATGCCTTTTCACTTACTCAGGGTGTGTGTATTCATTGCTCTCTGTGCAGTTTATACTCTCTTTAACTCAGCACCTGTGAAGCCTACAGGCAAGGCACATGGGTTTTTTTTTTTTGTTTTTTTTTTTGAGTTGGAGTCTCACTCGGTCGCCCAGACTGGAGTGCAGTGGCCGCTCCCGGCCACTGCAGCCTCGACCTGCTGGGCTCCGGCGATCCTTCCGCCTCAGCCTTCCGAGTAGCCGGAATTACAGGCATGCACTATCACGCCCGGCTGATTTTTGATTTATTGTAGAGATGAGGTCTCGCTGCCCAGGCGGGTCTCGAACCCACGGGCTCAGGCAATCCACTCACCTCAGCCTCCCAAAGGCGCGGGATTACAGGCTGAGCCAGCGAGCCCGGCTGGCACATGGGTTTTTTGAGGCTGTTTTCTGGGAACAAATGTTACCTTACAGTTTCAATCTTGACTAATCTAACCACTTGTTTGTAGTGAAACTACCTCTTCAGGGAAATTTGAAAATAGCTTTATTCCCAATGAAGGAACCATTAAAAAAATGAGTATAAAGCCTTCCTGAGTCCTGGACGTACCTAAATCAGAACTTTGTAGTGCACACCAGCCCAAGCTCTGTATCCTCATATGCTCTTGCAGTTGTGCAGAAGGGGAGAGACCTGAAGGGGTGTAGAGTGTGTCTTTTCTGTGGCCGTACTTCTCCTTTCTGACAAAGAGGAGACCAGCACCTCTGTGACTCTGGAGCTGGAAGTGGGAGGGCTCAGGGTGCTGTTTTCTGAGCCCTCTCCTCTGAGTCCGTCTTTCCCTTTGGTTCCTGACAGATTGGGACACAGAACAGCTTGGAGCTTCTTGACGATCCAAAAGCCGAGGTGGTTGATGAAATTGCTGCCAAGCTTGGCCTGAGAAAGGTACTGAGGCATTTGTCAGCTAGGCAGCCTCTGGGGTGCTGGGCTCTGCTGGGCACCAGGGTTGGTGGAGTGGCCAGGCCACATCTGGGACTGCCTCTTCCCAGCTGCACAAGATCAGGTACAGGCACTACGCATTTTGAAAATTTGCCTGTGTTTATTGGTCACCTATGGCTTTTTTGTTTCTCTGAGTTAAAGTAAAATGAGAACATTTCCCCTGAGCATAAAAAAATAAAAAATAAAAAAAGAGAGATCTTAGTGTAGGAGCTGTTACATTTAAGACCACCAGCCACACTTCTTGAGGACTGCTTTGGGAAAGGGAGCATGAACAGAGGCAGCAAGAATGAGACTCCAGCTATGCCTTTGCAGTTTCTCTTGCACACACGTGTCCCCTGAGGCATGAACTCCTTCTTGTAGCTCGAAAGCTGAGGATGACCAAGGTTGGAGTCCTTCCACAGTATTTGTTTTCTGTGCCATGTGCTTGGAGCTTCTGGTGTTTCCTTATCCATTATCATTGAATTTCCTGTTTGCCATTTAGGTCTCTGAGCCTAGAAGTCTTCCTTGTTTCATGAGACAGTGGGGCAATTAGAAGACAGGAAGATAATTTTCTTTTTTATTCTATTGATCTGGTTTATTTCACCTCCTTGATAAAGTTACCAGGAATGTTAATGATAGGATTTTGTAGATACATGCTGAGCTATGAATTTGAGCATATCTTAGAGGTTTAGCATTAATAGCTATATAAGTTTTATCTTTTATTTCCTAATCAGTTTAGGCAGTGAGAAATAATCTCTATAGATTATTTTATCTTATTTCTGTACAAATGAAGGGAGAGATAACTGAAAATGTGACTTAAAACATAGGAATGTAACGAGCAAAGTTTATGTACAGTTTGAAAGAAATGTCCTTTTGTTTCTAACAAGGAGTCAGAATCTTTATTTAGGGTCAAACTTTGTTTCAATTTCTGGAAGTTCTTGTTCAAAAGAGAAATTGGTCCAATTTTTTTTTTTTTTTTTGTGTTGGAGTCTCACTGTGTCACTCAGACTGGAGTGCAATGGCCGCTCCCGGCCACCGCAACCTCGACCTGCTGGGCTCCGGTGATCCTTCTGCCTCAGCCTTCCAAGTAACCGGAATTACAGGCATGCGCTACCATGCCCGGCTGATTTTTTGATTTATTGTAGAGATGAGGTCTCGCTGCCCAGGTGGGTCTCGAACCTGCAGGCTCAGGCAATCCACTTACCTCAGCCTCCCAAAGGCGTGGGATTACAGGCTGGGCCACCGAGCCTGGCTTGGTCCAATTTTTTAACCTATGTTTGTTACAAACTTATAGTGCATAATGATCATGGTTATAATAGGTCTTGTAGTTACCTAACTGCCTTTTTCCAAAATACTTGTTCCTTAGCCCTCATTTATCTCAGCTTAATTTTGCTTAATTACATTTGTCCTTTAAGTCTCATTTTCTCCATTGCCATCCTCCTTGAGTTTTTTTGTTCATTTGGTCATTTTTAAAGACAAAAATCTCATGCTGTTCTTTTGTTAATACCTGGCCCAGTCATGTTGAGTTCTGCCTGGGCCATGTTTTCCAAACTTTGGCCTTCTTCCATACCTTGCAGAGGTGAATCTCCTCTCTCTCTCTCTCTCCAATTTAATTTCTAAAAACTATGTTTTCCAATCTAAAAAAAATAAAAACAAAGACAAAGTCTCCCCCTGTGTCTAGTCACGTCTATGAAGACTTGTGATGTCAGGTTGGGAGAGGATGATGGGCCCCAGGTCACTCCTAAGGCCAGAAACCATCCTTCTGACCATCCAGAAGGTGCAGGAGTTCATGGGTAGAGATGGACCCAGGGACTGCAGAGCACACGGGTGCTGTTACAGCTGGACATGCAGGAAATGCCAGATCTTGCCCTGAGCTGCATGCCCAGACTTCAGAGTGCCACAATAACAGGGATTTCAGATCCTACTACTGTTAGATGTTTCCTTCTAGCCTTGTACTGGAGCAGCTGGGTGAAGTTCTGTTGAATTGCTGCCTTTTATTTTAAGTGCCTCTCTCTAGGGAATCTTTTTTTTCCTATCTTGTGGAGAAAGACCTAGCATCTGAAATATTTGCATACCTGCTTGTTTGTCTTAGGAGTGTAGGTTCCCTTTTCAGCAACATCCTATTGGTCTCACTCACCACTGTATTCCCTGCACCCAGCACAGTGCTGAGTAGGGCTGGGGCTGAGGAAGTGCATCTCCAATCCAGCAGCACCAGAGGGAGGATGGCCAGGTACTCCTGAGCAGAGTTTGAAAGCCTTGGTGTGGCCTGGCATCTTACTTCAGGAACTGATTCACTTGGATGACCTGGCTTACAAGGAGTCTCTGACTGAGAACATTCTTCTTAAGCTTTCTGGACAGAAGTCAGAAAAACATTCATCTATTTTAAGGAGATATTCAAAAGATATTTTCTTTTTTTATTAAGGTTGGCTGGATATTTACAGACCTTGTTTCAGAAGATACCCGAAAGGGTACAGTTCGATACAGTCGAAATAAGGTGAGGTGGAGACAGGAGTATTCGCTTAGTCTTGTGGCTTGGTTACAATAGCATTGACTCACATTCTCAGACTCTGGGTCTAGCTTTTAGGCCAATATTTTTCTTTTCTTTCTTTTTTTTTTTTTAAGTCACCCAAGCTGGAGTGCAGTGACACGTTCACGGCCACTGCAGCCTCGACCTGCTGTGCTCAGGCGATCCTTCCGCATCAGCCTTCTAAATAGCTGGAACTATAGGCGCATGCTACTACGCCTAGCTAATTTTTTGATTTATTGTAGAGATAAGGTTTTGCCATGTTGCTCAGGCTGGTCTTGAACTCCTGAGCTCAGGCAGTTCTCTTTCCTCAGCCTCACAAAGTGCTGGGATTACAGTTGTGAGCCACTACACCTGGCTTAGGCCAATATTTTTTAAGACATTCTTCTTGATAAATTAAGGCTGGGTCTGTTGTTTCTGTCTCATAGATCAAAACCCACCTTACCTTTACAAACCAGCGATTTTAGAGGTTAGCCTGTATATGTGGGGATGGTTTGCATAGTGTTTCTGGCCACCCTCATTGTGGTGGGTGGTTTTATTATTTTTTTGAGTTAGGGTCTCACTCTGTCATCCAGGCTGGAGTGCAGTAGCACGATCTTGGCTTACTATAGCCTTGACCTCCTGGGTTCAGGTGATCCTCCCACCTCAGCCTCCTGAGTAGCTGGGACTACAGGCATGTGTTATCATGTCCAGCTAATTTTTTGATTGTTTTGTAGAGACGAGGTCTCGCTATGTTGCTTAGGCTGGTCTCAAACTCCTGGGCCCAAGAAATCCTCCCACCTCTGCCTCCCAAAGTGCTGGGATTATTGGTGAGAGCCACTGCACCTGACCAGTGGGTGCTTTTAAATGAAGAGTTTGTAATGTAATTTTAAATGAAGAGTTTGTAAGAGTTTGTATGGTATATGTTTCGGTATGGGGTTTTTGAGACTTTATAGTTCTTATTTATTTATTTATTTTTTGAGTTGGAGTCTCACTCTGTCACCCAGACTGGAGTGCAGTGGCCGCTCCCGGCCACCGCAGCCTCGACCTGCTGGGCTCTAGCGATCCTTCCGCCTCAGCCTTCCAAGTAGCTGGAACTACAGGCGCGTGCTACCACGCCCGGCTCATTTTTGATTTATTGTAGAGATGAGGCCTCACCAAGTTGCCCAGTCGGGTCTCGAACCCACGGGCTCAGGCAGTCCACTCATCTCAGCCTCCCATAGGCATGGGATTACAGGCTGAGCCACCGAGCCCGGCATAGTTCTTATTTTTAAAGGAGGAATAGTATATTTTGATGTGATGCTATAAAATTTGATAGCTGCTTTTCTTGTCTTAGGACACCTATTTCCTGAGTTCAGAAGAGTGCATTACTGCAGGAGACTTCCAAAATAAACATCCCAACATATGTCGACTCTCTCCAGATGGACATTTTGGATCAAAGTTTGTGACTGCGGTGGCTACAGGTATCAGTAGGGACAGTTATATTGTAAATATCACCACCTTGTTAATATATTTTGTTTCTGTTTTCGGTAGCTTTTTATCCTTAACTTAGTTATTATGGATTTTGTTTTTGGACCTGTGGGACATGGATTCCTCCTTTTGTTTTGTGGTAAAAATTCTGAACTTACCAATAAACCAGAATTGAGACCTCAGTATAGCTTTCCGCTAGGCCAGTGTTCTTGTCACAAGTCCAACCAAGTTAACTCTTGGCTTTTTAGATCTGAGCTTGGGCTGCACAGCCCTGTTCTGATAACCAAAGATAATTCTAATGTTTCTCAGTGTAGAAGGGGAATTTACTGTTTCCATAACTCATTTATTTTTGTCATTATGAATGGGACTGTCATTTTAAGAAACCATTTCTGTAAAGCTTTTTTGGAAGTGACTTGTGTGTGTTTGGGAGAGAGAAAGAGTATGTGTGCGTATGCATTTATTTTATGTTACATGTTATGTATGTCAGAATAGATAATAAAAGATTGTGGCCTATAAAAGCAAGCCAAACAATTTTTTTTTTTTTTTTTTTTTTTTTTGAGTTGAAGTCTTACTCTGTTGCCCAGACTGGAGTGCAGTGGCCGCTTCCAGCCACCGCAGCCTCGACCTGCTGGGCTCTGGCGATCCTTCCGCCTGAACCTTCCGAGTAGCTGGAACTACAGGCGCGCGCTACCGCGCCCGGCTAATTTTTTGATTTACTGTAAAGATAAGGTCTCGCCAAGTTGCCCAGGCGGGTCTCGAACCCGTGGGCTCAGGCAATCCACTCACCTCAGCCTCCCAAAGGTGCAGGATTACAGGCTGAGCCACCGAGCCCGGCTTGCCAACCAAATCTTTTATAACATATTTGAGATCCTGTTCCAGAAAAAGCCAGACACAGTACCATATAATTTAAAAAGAGTAGGAACTGGGCGCAGTGGCTCATGCCTATAATCCCAGCACTTTGGAAGGCGGAGGTGAAAGGATTACCTGAGTCCAGGCATTCGAGACCAGCCTGGGAAACTTGGCAAGACCTTGTCTGTACAATAAATCAAAAATTGGCTGGGCATGGTGGTGTGTGCCTGTAGTTCCAGCTGCTTGGAAGACTGAGGCAGGCAGAAGGATCACATGAGCCCAGGAGGTCGAGACTGTATGCCACTGCACTCCAACCCGGTGACAAAGTGAGACTTTAACTCCTCATAAAAATATCATCCATTTGGTCAGTCTTTAAAAATAAGTGCTGCTGGGCTTGGTGGCTCAGTCTGTAATCCCGCGCCTTTGGGAGGCTAAGGTGAGTGGATTGCCTGAGCCCGCGGGTTCGAGACCCGCCTGGGCAGCGAGACCTCATCTCTACAATAAATAAAAAAATCAGACGGGTGTGGTAGCGCATGCCTGTAATTCCAGCTACTTGGAAGGCTGAGGTGGAAGGATTGCTGGAGCCCAGCAGGTCGAGGCTGTGGTGGCCGGGAGCGGCCACTGTACTCCAGGCTGGGTGACAGAGTAAGACTCCAACTCAAAAAAAATAAATAAATAAAAATAAAAATAAGTGCTAATTTTGCTACTGTGGATACTTGGTTTCTCCCTCAGAGAGATGATAATCTAGTTCATTCTTGGTAGCCATCCTTCTCATTCTCCAGAACTACCCCCAGTTTAACAGGGACCGATTCCAGTATATTGGTCATAAGATCCACAAGCAATCCCAGTTGAATCTGTTGCCACTGCCCTGGGAACTACAGGGAGAAAAATGTCCATGCCTCTAGAGTTTTTACACTTTGCTTTGTATTCTTGAGCTTGTAGTTTTCTTGATTTAAAGTCCATTTGGATTGATAGGCACCTTTGTTTTGAAATGAGTGTACTTTTTCGGGAGTGAGAGGCAGTAGTATCATCTTTCACATGTAATTATGCTAATAATTAATACATGTTAATTATTTCACATGTGAATTAGTTGAGTCAGATTTATTTTTCTAAATTGTTGCTCAGGTCAAGTGAGTAAGAGAATGGTTGGGAGTTTTGACTGGGATTAAAGGAAACATGGAATTATGCATCATAGAATACTTTAGTTAGGGTAGATCAGACAGGGTATGTGTTGTGGTAGAAGACTCAAGGCAGCTGGAGAGTGGCTGAGATGTTAAGCAGGGGACACTGGGAATTCAGAAGGGGAGCAGAGAATAAAGGCATTTATGTAATTTAGAATTTTGCCAAGCCAGCAGTATATATTATATATTTTTTGCCCAACTACTTATTTTATTTTATTTTTATTTATTTATTTATTTATTTTATTTTTTTTAATCAATCTTTTTTATTATGATTTTATGGGGTACGGTTAAGGGTTAGGTGTACAATTACGTTTCATTCAGGCACCCTGTTGATAAGAGGTGTTTCCCCATCCCCAGACAGATATTTGCGACTGTTAATCCCATCCCCCTCCCCCCGCCAGCAGTATATTTAAAGAAGGAGAGGAAAGTATTGTCTTTCTGTTCCCTGTATCACATGACCACCTCTGCATTTATTTTATTTTTTATTTATTTTTTTTTATGAATTGGAGTCTCACTCTGTCACCCAGACTGGAGTGCAGTGGCCACTCCCGGCTGTCGCAGCCTCGACCTGCTGGGCTCCGGGGATCCTTCCGCCTCAGCCTTCCAAGTAGCTGGAATTACAGGCATGCGCTACCACGCCCGGCTGATTTTTTTATTTGTTGTAGAGATGACGTCTCGCTGCCCAGGCTCACCTCAGCCTCCCAAAGGTGCGGGATTACAGGCTGAGCCACCGAGCCCAGCTCACCTCTGCATTTAGGCTGGTATTCTCGGTATAGTAGTTTAGACTGGTAGTTCCCAAATCTATCAGACTTAACCCCGCTTTTTAGAACATTTTGTGATACCCCTTTACTGTATAGAAATACAATTCATAGATAATATAGCCTGACTGCATACATATTTCTGAAAAGGAAAGTAGATTAGTACCCTAACTATAATAAAGAAAAAACAATAGAAAATAAATATATAATAAAGTTGTACATTTCAGTATGTCAGTGCTGGAGACTGACACATGAGGGCAACTCAGAGAAGGAGTTGGTGTTGATACGTGTGGGAAAAGGCTCTGTGGACTGAACATCCAGTTACTCCCCTGGCCTTGCCATCAGTGACGTTTCCTGAGATGGTCAACAATTCTCCATCAAGTTCTGAGCAGAATAGTGTGCCTTCCCCCAGCGTACACAGTATTGCCATCCTAGAGAATTCATCATGTGTTAATACTAAGCATAAATGTCTCGTGGTTATGTATAAAACAGAATTTATTCTAATCTCAGATCATTAGGAAGAGGGGTTTTTGCTTACTTGCGTGTGTAGTGAGCATTCAGTGTTAAGTGGGATGTGGAATAGTTCTTGGTTGCATGGAACTCTCCTGTACCTGGCAGGACGTCTGGCATCTTTAACACCAGCCCACGAAAGCAGTGCTCCCTTTCACATCATAGAGACAACCAAAACAGGGTTCTAGAACTACTGCCCTCACTGAGAACTACTGTTTTAGGATTCCATGATCTCCCATGGTAACGTCACACTTTTGATTACTGTTACTATGGAGAAATTATTCCATGAACTGAAAGAACTAGCTTCTTTTTAGAATTATAAACAGCTTCTTCATTTTGAGTCAGTGTCTCACTCTGTTGCCCAGGCTAAAGAACAGTGGCACTCTTGCAGCCTCCACAACCTCGATCTGCTGGGCTCAGGCAATCCTTCCGCTTCAGCCTTCGAAGTAGCTAGAACCACAGTCATATGCCACCATGCCTGGCTAATTTTGAAATTTTATTGTAGAGATGAGGTCTCACCATATTGCCCAGACTGGTCTTGAACCCATGGGCTCAAGCAATCCTCTTGCCTCTACCTCCCAAAGTGCTGGGAATTACAGGTGTGAGCCAACGTGCCTGGCTGTATAAACAGCTTTTAACTTGGGGGCTGCCACCTTTAATTATTGAGTCATATCTCTTATTGTGAGTTTGGGGGTCATATAGTTCATCCATGGAATTTTTCTCCCTCTGAAATTGGCATTTATTGAAAGTCTTTAGAATTATGAAACTGCAAATAATCTAATTTATAATAAGATATGCAAAAGTCGCACAGTCCTTTTGTGTCTGTGCTGAATCGTCTCTCTTGGTGCCCAGACTCATGATTCTCTCCCTTTCAGAGGGGGCAGTGACTGAAGAATGCTTATCTAGGGTGCTGCAGATATATATATATTGTTTTTGAGTTGGAGTCTTATTCTTGTCACCCAGGGTGGAGTGCAGTGGCAAGCTCACGGCCACCTCAGCCTTGACCTGCTGGGCTTAGGCTGTCCTTCTGCCTTAGCCTTCCAAGTAGCTGGAACTACAAACACACACCACCATGCCTGGCTAATTTTTTTGTGATTTATTATAGAGACGAGGTCTCATCAAGTTGTCCAGGCTGGTCTTGAACCCCTGGACCCAGGCAATCCTCTTACCTCGGCCTCTCAAAGTGCTGGGATTACAGACTGAGCCATGATGCCCAGCCTTGCTGCAGATCTTAATTCATCTAATCACTGTAGCTTGGACGCAGCTTAGATTTACTACATCCAAGTAAAGGGTGTTCTTTCTCTGTGTTAGGGTCTCTTGGTTAGGGCCCTGTAGGGACTCTGTGCAGCTGTTGGAAAATGCACTTGCTGCCGTCCCATCCAAGTCCCTGCTTAGGCAGGAAGATGCAGGCCTGTGCATCAGCAGGCACTTCCCAGGAGACCAAGCCATGTGGCACAGGGTGCATGGCAATTCCATGGGCAGAGCTCAGGTGCTGACAGATGCAACACCTTGCCCCACCCTGTGTCTGTGGGTCCTCCCCTGCCCTCTTTCGTTGTATGAAAAACTTCTCTGGCTTGAGACCTCTAGAGGGTGAGTGTCACAATTATATGTGGTTGAGTGAACTTAGAGTCTTGAGTGAACTTAGAGTCTTGAGGAAGACCCGTGCATTGTAAAGCCTGAGTTTAACTCTGCTCCATGGTGTAGATGTCTCTGCCTTCAGCATTTGGCACACACTCAATTTGTGGGCTATGAATATTACTTTCTGAGGAGCTGGTTTCAAAAACCAAAAATGCGTATCAAATTCAGTAGCAGCTGAGTTCTTTCAGTCACTATCCCTTTCTAGACCCTGTGATCCTTCCCATGTGGAGATTTGTGAAGGGAATGATAGTTAACTTGTCCAACTTTTCTTTTCTGGCAAGGTTACACAAACCCATCAGGCTGTGTGTTTCTTGCTGTTCCCCACGGAAAAGGGAGTTTGCTGTCCATCTTAGTGAATTTGCCTTTGGAGATTATCCTTATGGAGTAATTTTGCTTTTTTAAAAAAAGCTTTCAATTTTACCAGTACTGCTTTTCATTTTTCTCTCGTTCTCAACTGCCAGGTTTTTCTTTCCCTGAAGACCTATCATACTTTAATGGCCAGTCCGAACAAGAGGGCAGGTTTACAGTGCCCTAAGTAGATATACGTGCCCTTTTGCCTCTGCTTTTTTTTTTTTTTTCGAGTTGGAGTCCCACTCCGTCGCCCAGGCTGGGCTCTGGCGATCCTTTCGCCTCAGCCTTCCAAGTAGCCAGAACTATAGGCGCACATTCCACTTGAATTTTTTTTTGAGTTGGAGTCTCACTCTGTCACGCAGACTGGAGTTCAGTGGCCGCTCCCAGCCACCACAGCCTTGACCTGCTGGGCTCCGGCGATCCTTCTGCCTCAGCCTTCCGAGTAGCCGGAATTACAGGCGCGCGCTACCACGCCCGGCTAATTTTTTGATTTATTGTAGAGATGAGATCTCGCCTACCCAGGTGGGTCTCGAACCCGTGGGCTCAGGCAATCCACTCACCTCGGCCTCCCAAAGGCGTGGGATTACAGGCTGAGCCACCAAGCCCGGCTCGAATTTTTTTTTTTTTATTGTAGAGATGAGTTCTCACCATGCTGCCCAGGCTGGTCTTTAACCCCGCGAGCTCAGGCAGTTTTCTCGCCTCAGCCTCCCAAAGTGCTGGGATTGCAGGCTTGGGCTACTGCACCTGGCCTGCCTCTGCTCTTTCTAACCTTGTACTGATTCGTGGTGTGACATTTAGGCCACTGAGCATACTGTCAAGGAGAGGTGTCCATGTTTCTACTGCTATGTTGGTAGTCATTTGCGCAGACTTGGCTATCTGTCCTGAGCATTTGCGTTAGGCCACAGAGAAAATACTAGACGAGTAAACTGGGCCTTGGAGCCAGTTTGACTCAGTATCTTGAAGCCAGCTGTTGCCCACTGCCTTGTGCAAAGATAGCCTCTTGAAGGTTGCTCTGTCCCCTCCTTCATCTTTTCTGATTGCTTGGTTATCAGGTCTGGTTTCTGATACACGTTTGAAAGCCATATGGACTAAATTTATGTTTTCTGACCAGTAGATTCTGTTTTTTTCAAAGAAGCGGAAATATAAATATTGAGGCCCAGCACACTGGCTCTTGCCTATATTCTCAGCACTTTGGAAGGCCAAGGCAGGAGGATTGCTTGAGCCCAGGAATTTGAGACCAACCTGGGCAACACAGCGAGACCGTGTCCCTACAAAATGTTTTTTAAAAAATAGCCAGGTGTGGTGGCATGTGCCTGTAGTCCCAGCTGCTTGGGAGGCTGAGGCAGGAGGATTGCTTGAGCCAGGAGTTTGAGGCTGCGATGAGCTGTGATCGTGCCACTGCACTCCAGCTTGGGTAACAGAGTGAAACCCCAACTCAAACAAAAAAGAAATATAGATATTGAGGGCTATTTTTTTCTTTAAAACCATAAAATATTACTGAGGTTGGAGTTGTCAGAGTATAATCCTGATTCTGGAGGTATAGCTCTCTGTGGTGGTGGACGTCTGCTTTAGCTCCTCCAAAGGCTCAGGCTGCCTTACATGGCATTGTCCGTTGTCCTCATTTCAGAGATCTGATCTAACTTGACCAGATTATTACCTCTCAGCAGCGATTTGTGTGACCCATGTCTGTCATGAAGTCATTTTGGAGGCTTTGATGGTATGGAGGTTGGGCGAGAGGTGCAGAGTGAAGGTGATGGCGATGCCTGGTGAGGAGCTGGGCCTGGTTTCCACAGCTCAGACCTCCACAATGTGTCTCACAATGTGAGATGACAGCTGTGGCATCGACTGCACAGGAGGGCTGTGTAGGTTTCTGTAAGGTAGAGACTATTATACAGTATATGCAATACAGCCTCTAGTATTTTTATTCAGAATAGTTTTGTTTTCTGTCCACTCCCCCCACCTCTCCCTGCCTCCAGATGAATTTATCCCCCTACCTTTCAACCCCGTTCATTTAAGAACAAAAGTTTGCTGGAATAGGGGTCTGCCTGTTGTTTACACTCCTGGTGTTAACTAAAAACCAAGAGCCTAAGTGCTGATGACATTAAGCCTACTTCTGGGGTGGATATTAGAGAATGTTTAACAATTTTGGTTTCCTAATTCTGATAGAATGTGTCATTGATGGCACTGGTTTGTGGTTCATTTATTTTAGTTCTCTCTGTTTCATTTTTTTTTTTATATCTTCAAATTCATTAATCTTTACTTCTGTAATGTCTAATCTTCATTAATTGTGCGTGTGGAGGATCTGCAGCATATCTAGATGTACATGGTCCAGGTTTTGTTTTCCAGCTGTCCATCAGATGACCCCTTAAAATTTTTGAATTCTTACCCAAGACAAACTCTTGAGGGTTTATTTTTTCTGTTGGTTGGAGTGAAGAGTAACAGATATGTACTGGTTTTGAATTTTGTTTGGTAGATTCTCTTTGAAGGTTTCTCTTTTGCAGGTGGTCCCGACAACCAGGTCCATTTTGAAGGGTACCAGGTATCCAATCAGTGCATGGCGCTGGTCCGTGATGAGTGTTTGCTTCCATGCAAGGATGCCCCTGAACTCGGCTATGCCAAGGAGTCCAGCAGTGAGCAGTACGTGCCTGATGTGTTTTATAAGGTAAAAATATGGTAAAAAAAAAAAAAGAGTTGCATACATGGAGAACAATGTAAACTTGTCTTGGATCTTTCTAGTTTGGGTGCATCCTACCTGTTGATCAGCCATGGTTGTTTAGAATCCTGCTTGTGAGTAAAGGCTTCTATCATGTTCCTGGGCTTATTATTAGCTACTCAGGCTTCCATGATATTCAGGCTTATCACCAGAGCTGGAGCTACGTGCACTGGGTTTGGGATACATAACACCAAGACTGACCATTGAAACACATTTTCAGTTTCTTTTTTTTTTTTGAGTTGGAGTCTCACTCCGTCGCCCAGACTGGAGTGCAGTGGC